GGGACGCAGAGGAAAGATGTAAGATGAACTATTGGCATATTCCAATTCATTGTCTGCGTACCTTTATATTTCTTTCTACACTGTACCAAAATTATTTTTCCGATAAAGCTACCATGCACATCCCAATTCTTGGCAGATATGTCATAATTGAGTACATAACTGTTTGCATAAATGTGTATGTCTTTAATGCGTCAGAGAAATATTTTTCCATTCGTTTATGAAACTTTCTTAATATTATCATTTTAGGATTTCCGCAATACAATCCTCTGGCACGTTTTTTTTTTAACTTGAGGCTAAAAGAAGAGGAAGTTACTTCGTAAAATGATATTGAACATAATACATTAAGAGAATATGCATGCTTTTCATGTGGACAATCTTTTGCATCTCAGGTTGTTATTTTCTCACTAACGTAATGTTACTTCACTGTACCTTGTCTATAATTACTTTCATGGTAATTTGTTCTAGCGAATTTTCCTCCATGGTAGCTAAACTTCATGAATTTAAACGCAGTGTTAGATTGCGGGCAAGCTCCCATCATTTCACAGTTGAAATGGCTCGAGGTAACCGCATGTTCTATGTTAACAGTTTCTTCTCCCGCAGTTTCTTCAGGTTTCTTGATTCCCTGTAAAATCTTATTCTCAAAAATTTAAGTTCAATGTAAATCTTTATCGCCCGTCTTCTTAATTATTTTAATCCTTCTCTCTTTAATTGTATATTTTCTTTATTATCTGGCACTCAGTAAACCCTTGCGTCTTAGTGACTTTACTGCCTTGCTTAGGGTGAAATTATTTAAAAAATGTCATTTTTTTTATGAACTTACTGTATCTTATGTTATTGTTTTTCTCATTTCATACACTCTTACAATTATTGGTATAATCGTTTTATTTAAATGCCACATACTTGAAAATTCTATTCCATGGTCCTTACATTTTTAAAGTTTATCAAATGCTATTGATAAATATTCAGACGGGTGGCCATGTTTGTGAGAAAGAAATGATATTTTTTTAAACTTATATTGTTATATCTGATCTCTTGGCTTGTATAGTGAAATGTCATCAACACTGTACCATTCTAACTTTGATAGTGCTGTGTATTTATACCGTTTTTTTCTGTATGGGGAATATTATACTTCAACTACATATATTTATCTCCCTATCATATCGATATTAGTCCCAATTTAGTGTCCCCTGGTAAAACATGACCAGTCTTTTTGTCAGCCGTCGTACAATATCGATTTTATTAGTATATTATTTTCTTTGATTTCTGATGTATACCCATTTCTTTCCGAGTCCTATCCAGAGACATAAGCTTAGAAATGGCACCATGACATTTTAAACTGAGTATTTTTTGAGAAAAAAAAAACACCTAAAATCACAGATATTTTACATAGATAAAGTTATTTGTAAAGTTTGGGCTGTACTTGTGATTACATTTTTTTTTTGTATTTTGTTAAGGTATGGTCCACCAGAAATCCCTTCAATTTCTCTACTGGAAAATTCTTAAATAATTCCGAGGGCTCCAACTACAAAGATCCTTGTATGTTGATACAGTTTTTAATGTTTCAAAGATACAGTACAGTCTTCAGGGATTGCCATGTGAATAAGAAGGCAGATTTTGATTTTGCGGTCTCTGATCACTATATCTGGGCGATGAGCTTTGTCTGTGTGTATTGTAACGTCCCATACAATTGTTACAGGACCTATCGCTATAAACCGATTTTCCGTGAAAATTGCATATTTTCCAATGCAGATATTTGTTCACTGTAAGATTTTATATTCAATGGGTACCAATGACGTGCAAACTGATACAAGTTGGTCAATTGTTTCTGCAAATTTATCACACAATCTGCATTTCGAGCTAACATAATTTATCAGTTATCTGTACTTGGTGATTTCTGGTTAGCAAGCATTGGTCCTGTACAGCAAAATAAAACCTTCGGCTTCAGATTTTAACCCTGCACGACGGATCGACTGATAGGTACCGGGTTTGTTCGTTTCGGGCTTAATACTGAGCGTGAAAAGTTTTACCTACCATCGTTTCTGTATCTGGTGGCTCGTATTTTTTTTAAAGTTTTTGCTGCTGCACTAGGTGTATTATGTTTTACTTGCATTTCTTCACCCACTTGAAACTTCATTTTGAACTTGTTGACTTCCTTTATTTACTGAATAAAGTCGTTTACTACTTTCATGTACTTTGACACAGATCATCATCTAGTCTTCTGTATTTTCTAGGTATCACTGAAAACCGATTGTTGCAGATTTGTAAGACAGATTTCGTTGAACTAATCCTCTGCCTCATTCGGACTGAGGCACATAAAAACGATCAACATCAAACTTGGGATGATGCATGCGATGGTAAGTGATAAGCTTTCTCGTTTTGGCGTCCATTCGCTTAAAGTCGATTATGGCCCAGTTAAAGATGTTGAAATTGTATGGCACCACAGGTGCAGTCAAAGCGTTCATGGCTGTTATTCTGTTCTTAGAATCCATCTCGGTATCCTATGCTAGGAGCAAAAGCCAGTAGTATTCTTTTCTTACTTTCTCCTTTATTTGGATATGCTGTATTCCAACTCCTTCGTTAATTCTTAAGTACCTATACGGTTCTTCATGTTGCAGTTCCCTAATCTTTGTGACAAAATCTATATCTATTGATTGTTTTTCTGTAACTCTTCCTTTCTTTAATGGTACTTTTGCTTATTTATCTAATCAAAAATCCATACCTATGTCGTCACTAAAACATTTTACAGTATTGAGGTGACCTTTCAACTCAATGTTGTCAATGGCAAAGAGTTTTAGATCATCCATGTAGAGTAGGTATTGAACAAATTCTTGTTAACTCTGTATCCATAGCTATTATTTTTAGTTCATGAGTAAGTGTATTAAAGACAACCAAAACAGAAAGGCAGAGAGGGCGTCTCCTTGAGAGATTCCTCGATGGATATTCAAGCGGTTGGAAAAGATAATGTCTTTGGTAGGATTTAGGTATAATGTGGTTTTCCACATTCCCATTCTATGTTTAAGGAAGGTTAAAATAACTGTTATATTTTGTGCTAAGGGAATAAATACTTAACACTAGGTGGATAATTGAAGAAATGTTTATTGTACACAACCAGTACAATATGAAATACGGTACAGTTATACACACAGGTCAATCTAGTAGTGAGTGCCCCTAATTGGAAGGTAGAGCATACTTGCGTCTTCTCTCTCTCACTCTTCCCCAAGTCTCTCGTAGAGAATTGACTTTATAGGTACTCACTACTTAAAGTGTAATTATTAATGAGGGTGACTGTTTAATCCATTATATCAATAACCGAGGAGACCTTTTACATCGTAAGTATCCATGAGTGCGTTACAATATCAACGGCTTTACAGTCATCTATCCATGCTGTGTTGAGATGTCTATTTTCCTACAGTTTTCCAGGATCATTTTGTTTATCAATATTTGATCTGTGCAACCATATGAAACTCGTCTAGATCCCTTCTGTTACAGTGAGAGAATGTTGCTTTCATCGAGAAAAGAGTAAGTACATTTTGTTAGGACAATTTATACGTGGTGGACAGGCATGTTATTGGTCTGTAATTTTTTCGGATCATCTGTTTCACACGTTTTTGGCATGAGATATTTAATACATTCAGATTCCCATTCTGGGACTATATTACTAATAAACATTAATGATGTTCTTGCAAGGGTTTTATGTATTGATGACAGATGATATTATTATTTTATTTATTGGCTTTGATTTCCCTTGTATACACATTTCTTTCCGCGTCCCAACAATAGGACTAAGGTCAGAAATGTCATCATGGTATTTTCCACTGACAATTTCTGTACAAAAATAAATAATTAAAAAGCAATAATAATGAAATAAATAACCTAAGATCAACATATTTTACATAAAGTTCATCGTAATGTGTGGACTGTACTTGCGAGGTTTTTTTTTCATTTCTTTAAGGAATGGCCTACAAGGTATCACTTCAATGTGCCTATCGTAACAATTTCCAATCAAACTGTTCCATCTAAAGCTGTATTTACTGATGTCTTCATGCGCCACATTTTTAAGATCTCTCCTTCATGAACATTATATTTTGATCATTGCAGTGTACTTGAACTTACATCTCAATAAGAAAGCACATTCTGTTTGTGTATTCTTTGATCTGCTTGCTAAAATATTTTAGCAGAGAGAGTCTTTGAGATATTCTCGCCTGCTCAAATGAAAAAAAAAGGAACAACTTTAGCTGCTGCTCGGTAAATTTCTCCGATTTGCCCTGCCATGTTTTCAAAATATGCAATCCCAAGTTACCGCAAAATCTTTCAGGTTCCATGATGGCTACTCTTGTGAAAAAGGGGGATATCGTGGCGATTGACCTGCAAGGGCTTTTCAGCAAGATGCTCGTATTCAACACGAGATTCGTTTGCACATTCTCAGCTACCGAGGCTAGTGACAGTCCATACCTTTACACTGCGCACTGTAGGCCATAATTCCTGCATAAATCCTAAAGTATTCTTCAGATTAATTCCTTACGGCATCTTTACTCTTTTATCGTTTCCAGTTTTTTTTTTTGTTTTTTTGTTTGGTCTGCCAGTTCAGTGTAGCGACTGAACATGTGTTACACACTTTCACCTGCATTAGGGAAAACGAAATCATCTATTTACATAGGACATGGTGGGATTGATTCGAAATGACTGGTCGTGCACTGTGTAGATCCTCCCTTCGGAATGCTCCATTGACAGCAGATCTTAAGCCACCTCCTTGCTTCCAGATCTGCCAGATCTTGCGTTTCTTCGTTTTCTTCTTTTTCTTCTTCTTCTTCTTCTTCTTATTATTATTATTATTATTATTATTATTATTATTATTATTACTATTATTCATATTTCGATATCGTCCAGATGTAAAACTTTGCTTTTTTTTGCGTTATGCACTTCGATTTTCTCTTTGTCCGTCAAGTGTCTTTCTTTACAATGGGATAAAAATATTAGAGGAAATGCTTTTAGTTGAATGAATGCCGATTTCTTTCTCTCGTCCGGGTTTTTGGGCTGAGAATTTCGAATTCCGTCCGCCTGATTTCTTTCTCACTCTTCTTCCACAGAAATCCCTTTATGACATCGCGAGTTTAGCTTAGAGATTTGTGTGTGAGGCTATTGGCCAACACTTAATCGTTTCACTAAATGGACGCAAAGAAGAGTGTGCTGCGCCAATTTTTCATGTTCATACTTAAAGTAGATCTGAAATTTGCTTCGAAACCTCGTACATAACTAGCAATCTGGATCGTTAAAATAGAATGTTTTAATTCATGTTTTCAAAATAGGAAGATTTTATGTATTCCTGTGGCGTGTATATATTTTAGGAACTCCTTTTGCAAAATAAATTTGAATCTCAGCTCAACCTCAAATTATTAAAAAGTTCAATGAATATTTTTTTTTCTTTTCTATCTATATTTTTTTTTTGTTTTCTGGTTTGGGTGAAAAATACCCAACAAAAGATTCGCAAAATGTATATATATATATATATATATATATATATATATATATATATAAATTGATTGATTTAAAAATATGGTTTCATCGCTACACAGAAATTACTATGTTTCAAAAACAGAAAACAAAAAAACTTCAAATTCAATTGTATTAAATTATAAGCATTTCGTTCTGTTTCATCTTCAAGCGAATTTTGGAAGCAAAGCATATTTTTAAATGGGTTAATTTATAATATTTATGCTCTGTAAATTTATATTGAACAGTGTTTCGTAAAAATAAAAATATCGGACTACAAAAGAACACAGGATTACATATCTTACTGTTTTTCCATTTTTAACTATATATATATATATATATATATACATATTAAAGCAATTTTTTAACTATAATATATATATATATATATATATATATATATATATATATATATATATATATATATATATATATATATGTGTGTGTGTATATATATTATAATAAAAATGGAAGAACAGTAAGATATTTAATCCGGTGTTCTTATTGATATTTTTATTTTTACAAAACAGTGCTATATATATATGTGTGTGTGTGTGTAGGAGAGGCAGAGAGACAGAGAGAAAAGACACACAGACAGAGAGTGAGAGAATCCGTTAATTATATATTGTGAATGAGAGAGAGAGAGAGCGTGAAACAGTGTCTCTGTGTGTATTTATGCGTTAAAGAGAGTGAAGAGAGTAGACAATGAGAGACAGTGTATGTGAGAGAAAGAGCGTGTGTTTTTGCATGAGAGAAAGATTATCCAAACTAAAGAGAGAGGGTGAGAGAGAGAGAGAGAGTAAGAGAGAGAGAAAGAAAGAAACAGAGGATGTATGTGTGTATCTGTGTGTGTGCCTGTGTGTGTGCCTGTGTGTGTGCCTGTGTGTGCGAGATTATTTTTTTCTAATGTATGATTGAGACCTTCTACAGTCTAAAAAGTTTACAGCTGGAGAAAGACGATTGTTCTGATATATGGTCAGGAGCTGTCACGCTATACTCCAAAACAACGTCTGCTTTTCCTTGTGGGTGATGATTTTCCACTTTAGAGCCATTATCCCACAGGCGAAACGTTGCAAACCTCTCGCTAATCTGTCGCTATTTCCATGGAAAGTACCTTAGTTCCCCGAAATCTAACTGCTTCTTCCTACGAACCGCTACTTTCTCAACCTCCCAAGATGATGCTTAACTGATCACAAGACTTTTTACCTGTTCTAGAATTACCCTTTATCTTCCCACATATCCTCATAAATTGTACCCCTTACCTCTTGCTCTGTAGCCGTTTAGCTCGAGTGGATGTTATTGTTAAAACAGGTGGCAGTAGGATTATAGGTCGATATCCGAAGCCATTCTGTAAATTAATTTCTAAACATATGCAAAAGCGTGTTATATGTATAAATAATTGCGTGTAATTTTGCGTGTGTTTGAGGTAAATGTATGTGTAAATGTTTGAAAATAAAGTGCCTTTTTATATCTAGATATCTATCAAGCTAGCTCTGATCAGTCTGTTCAAATTTATCCCACTCTGCTAATTATCTATTAATGAAACTCTTTTTAGATTTCATCTCTATTTTTTTGTTTACTTGCTTTTTTTCTTATTTAGTGTTTTTCTTAAACTTTGCTTCTTATTCTTTCATATTCTTTCGTTTTTAGTTTTTCATCACCTTTTTTTATTTCTGTCTTTCTTAGATTTCTTTTCTTTTTCATATTTTATTTCGTTTTGTCTTTTTTTTTTCCGTCTGGCTTTTCCTCCTTTTATTTATATTTTTCTTTTCTTTTTGATCGTTTATTTTTCGTACTTTTTCTTTCATTATTCTATCTTTTTTTCTTTACTCTTTCTTTGTTTCATACTTTCTTTTCTTTTCTCTTTTCTTCCTTTTCTTTTCTCTTGCTTTTCTTCTTTTCGGTGATTCGTCTTTCTTTTTTGTCTTTTTTACAATCATTGTTCTTTATTCTTTCTTTCTTTCAGTCTTTTTCTTTATTATTCCTCTCTAGGTTTCTTTCTGACTTTATTCTTTTTCATTATTTTTTTTTAGCTATAAATATTTTATCATCTATCTATGTATTTATTTCTTCGACATTTAGTTGCGAATATATCTATAAGTAAAAATTATCAGCACCTGCGTAAAGACATCGTAAATGCAATCGCCTCGGGAAGACTTCATCAATAATCGCTGAAATATTAACATTGCATCCACCATATTGTTAAGGAAGCAAAAGAAAAATTCATAATAAAAATCTCCTATTTCAATAAATAACGCACCGCTTCTCAAGAGAAAATTTAAAAAAAAATCATAAAGAAATATTATTGGAAAAATCTATAGCAAAAACGAATAAAAGTCATCTAGATGAAAGAAAAAGACTGAAACTATTGGGCGATTAAAATAGATATGTGAATAAAGGAAAGAAATAGAGAAAGGGAAAATGACAAACGAAAAGATAATATAAAAAAAAACAGAATACAGGAATGTTGCTCGCTGATTTAGTGTTTTCACGACCTCCATAAATACAGCAATGGTTTCCCACACTTTTGCTCTATTCACTTACTAAACTAAGTAAAGGTGAATTTGGACTCTTTAGTTAAATATTGATGCATTTTCTATTTGACGCAAGTTGTCTATATTCGAAGTAAGATCGGTGAGACTGAATATTTCTACATGTATTCTGATAACACCTTTGCTATAAAGAAAGAAAAACAAATTTTAATTATCCGAAATAAAACGAATAAACAGATAAAATATGAAATACTAGATGCACTTAAAATTAAAGTAAAACAGAAAAAAAAACGCACTGTGCAATATGGACTTGTATGAATGATTAAAAAAAATGAAAAATAAGAAAGAAAAGCATGAAAATTATCTTAAAATGGATTTAAGAAAGAAAAACTGAAGAAATTATAATTTAAAAAAAAAAGCAAACAGATTAAAAAAAATAAAAAATTAAATGGTGTTTAAGAAAAGAAAAGAAAACAAAGAATCTATAAGCATTTTCAGAAAGAAAAATAGAAGAAAAATTCAGTTTTTTTTTTATTTTTTGAAGATATGAATAAAAAGATGTATCACATATTTTGAAAAAAGAAAGATAAAATGATTTTAAGAATTAAAATATTTTTTAAGAATGAAAGGAAGAATGATAAAGTGTTAAACAGGTTTAAGAAAGAAAGTCAAAATTAAGATCTAATGTTTTTAAGAATAAATAAAGGAAAGATATTAAATGTTTTAAAGAAAAAAAGTAAAAAGAAAATAACAAAACATTTCCTTAAGGAAGAAAAAGAAAACAAAAATCAAATATTTTTATGAAGGAAAACAAATACCGAATATTTTAAAAAAATGGAAAAATAAAAAAAAACAAGTTCAACAAAGGATAGAAGCAAATGTTTCTTTCTATTAAAAAACAAAGAAAGAAAAAAAATGAAATATCAATTTTTATTTTTTATCAAAGATACAATATGGCGAACAAAGAAATCAAAAGAAATATGTGGTTGTATTAAATAAGAAAATTTTGTTAAAAACAAAGAAAAAAGTACTAAAATATGACAGCAAATGTTAAACAACCTCCCCATAGATGAAGAAGAGATGTGAAGCAAAAGAAATGTGGTTCTACAGAAGGATTTTGAGAATAACATGGACCGAGCAACAGTGAAGTTTTAGAAAAAAATGAAAAACAAGAAGAGAACATACATAGAATTAGAAAGAGACAATTGAAATTTCCAAAGTCCTTAATGAGAAAAGAGGGTTTGAAATAGGAAACACTTAAGGGTATAATGGAGGTAAGTGGGATAGAGGAAAGTAGAGAATAACCTAACTAATGCAAATGTGTGTAAAGTCTTGACAGAAGAGGAAGTTCGAGAAATGTTAAGAATAAAAAACAATGCTAACAGCCACAAAGGACAGGAAAATGTGGAGAGCCATTTCGCCCACATCCTCTAGGATTTATAGAATATAGAAGTATCAATGCATCCAATCGAAATAAAGATTAAAAATAATATTGGATGTAAAGGAAAAACCAGGACTAAGAAGTAAATCCTTACAAATGCAGAAGTAGAGGAAATTCATAAAACGCCAAAAATAAAGAAATAGTAAAAAAAAAAAAAAAAGTAAAGAAAGAAATGAAAGTAATCAGACAGACGCAAAAAAAGAACATTAGATTTATAACGGTGTGTTTTGAAGGCATTTACGATCCAAAACCTCAGTAATGATTCAAGAATATGTCGCGGAAATGGCTTCACGTCATCACGTCTCGATGAGTGAGAAAGGAAGGCGCCGGGAGATGTGGCTGCATGGAAGTGGGAGAAAGAAGAGGCTGTGTAGCGGTGCGAGACTGTGGCTTTGAGAGGAAATTGTCTTTACATTTACGGAACGTGAAAATACAATCATTGACTAAAGTGGGACCACAAATAGAAATACAATTACTTGAGGCGAGATAGCTTGGACAAGCACACACACACACACACACACACACACACACACACACACACACACACACACACACACACACGCAAACACACACACACACGCAAACACACACACACACACGCAAACACACACACAATTTCACATTCACACAGGCATATAGATATATCTATAGATAAATAGACAGATTTTTAAAAAAAAATATGCAATGTGCTAACAAATTTATACAAAACAAACAGTAAATGAGAGAAAAAAACAAGAATTGAATGAGACCAATAGTTTCGGGAATAAACGTTTTCTACAAGGTTATTGGATAATGGCGGAAAATATTTAAGAGTCAATAAACAAAAGACGTTTCACGAAATTTTGAAATCATTTCTCTCTCTCTCTCTCTTTCATTCACTAATTCTCTATCTCATTCACTCACTCTCTCTTTCTATCTCTCTCAGACTCACCCTGTCTCTCCGCTTCTCTCACACTCCCCTCTCAATCATTCAGCCCTTATACATAAAGCCATATCACATTGAAACATCGGTTCCCTTACGATGACCGAGGTTAAGCATTATCGTACTTGGCCAGTACCCAGATGGGTGATCGCTTGGGAATACCAGGTGCTGTAAGCTGGGATGTACCGATGGTGTAATGGATAATGGAATGGATTTATTAGCCGAGTTTCAATTTCCGTTGGGTTCGGGATATTCATTTATGTGCAAATGCCCATGGGAATGCTATGAATTCACCTCTTTATCCCCATGGGTTAATTAGTAAGACCTTTATCACTAAGTCATTATTATCGAAAAAGGTTAAAAAAATCTTAAAATCGAAAAAAATATTTTCTGGTTTTAAATTATCTGCAAAGGGTTGATGAATAATAACAAATGAATCAATACTACTATAAAAAAAAAATATTTCGTGTGTACACGTGTTTGTGCAGGCATAAGCCATTTTTTAGCATTCGAAAAACTTAATAAAAAAATAGATACGGACTGAGAAAAACCTACCTAAAAAAAAAAACTTGTGCAAAACGATTGGGTAGCAGGAAGTGGGGTATGTGAAAAACAAAAGTGAAAACTATAAAAGAAAGGAAATGGCATTAGATTCTATATCTCTAAAGCCAACTATATGGTTAAGGTATGTAGATGACACCTTCATATTCTGGCCACACCAGGAAGATGTTCAGGTTCTACTGGACCATGTGAACTCAATAAGACCTTCGATACAGTTCACAATGGAGAAAGAGAGTAACAACACACTCCCATTCCTGGATGTTCTAATATCTCGAACAGAGCATGGGTTTAAGACATCCGTATAACGTAAACCGACATTCACCGGGCAGTACCTCAATTTCAACACCCACCATCCATACAGCGTAAAGAAAGGGATCGTCCGCTGCTTACAACACCGATCAAAAGTCATAAGTGGCGACCCAGAGACATTAGATAAAGAATTGGTCAGTATAAGTAGTACCCTACAACGTAAAAACTACCCTGGATACATGGCAGCAGCCCCCCAAAACTTGAATAGGCGGGTACAAGAGGAGGAGGACAACAATACTCAAAAAACTGTCTGCCTGCCTTATGTGAAGGGGTTATCAGAGAAACTACAAAGTATCTGCGGTCCATATAACATCAGGACAACCTTCAAAAGCTTGACGACACTTCGCAGATATCTCTCCCGAGTAAGACCCCCCTCCTAGAGGAGAACATGACTAAAGACTGTGTGTACGCTATCACGTGCACCTGCGGAAGAAATATAAAGGTGAGACAGGCCGCCCCCTCAAGGTAAGGCTTCAAGAACACCAAAAAGCTGTTACACGAGGGGAAGTGGAAAAATCAGGCGTGGCTAACCACATATGGAGAGAGAAGTGAGATCACCGCCCTCTGTGGGATCAAGATGAGATAATAGACAGGGAACACCATTGGAAAATTCGTAAACTTATGAAATCAGCACATACGCTAGGCCACAAAAATCTCCTGAACCGACCAAGCATAAAAATAAATACAATATGAGAACCAGTAATAAGGAGTACTAGATAAAAGCAATGATAACAACAAAGTTGCAATATGAGCTTTGGTAAAAATGGTTGCTGAAGACATTATGTTTATAATACCCAGAAATTCAAATACAGATGTCCTCAAGGACACAGTGGATAAAGGCGTTGGTTAGATCCAGTGAAAGGACCCAAAGAGTGTGAGTTCAATACCCGGATAAGGCAGTGGAGAACTTTCAGAGGGAAAATTTACAGGAGATAACTGATAACTGACATCCATTAAACATGGCATGTGGAACTAGGAATAAGGGTTCGGTTCGACATTCCAACCACCTGAAGAAGTCCGGAGCGTAAAACGGCCGAAACGTTGCGATAAATATGGCGACAAAGATGAAGACAATAGTCCGAATAATGTAAATAATGAAAAGAAAGGAAGTTGTGAAGAGTCATGTTAGGCTACGTTTTAAAAGAACACGAGACATAGAAGAAGTGTGTGCAAGTTGGTCAGATAACACAGCGCCTTTTCTTATATGACATAGTTTTTATAGAGGGGCATAGAAATTTACTAACAGAATCAGTGTTGAATCCATTTTTAAATTACTTGGATCTGATTATGTTCCTCTTCACGCTGATATCCTTGGATCTACTTCTTGCCATCTTCTTTTTTTTTTCATATATTAGCATACATCTTCACAGCAATGTCACCAATGACATGCTATGAGTCAGTAGTAGTTAGTTAATTTTTAGTTGATTGTTTGATTTGTTTTTGCGGCTTATCAACCTTTTTTAGACTATTTTAAGCCAGAACATATGTCTAGAATGTAAGATTTCTTTGGAGATAATGATTTTTACTCATACACGTTCTACTAATGAACCCATTATATTGTAATGTGTGCGGGTTCTGAAAAGTTTTGAAAAATTCCGTGCATAACATTGCAGATGAAGCCCAGTTACAAATACTTTCAGGTCGGCTCAGCCAGGCTGTCAAGAATTTGTTCAATTGAAGACGTTCCTAATTATCTATATGTGATCTCCAAGAATTACTGCCTTCTTCATCTTTCAAACTGAATAGAAAAATGCAGCATTGTCGACACCCATCGACGAAGATAACCAACCAATTCCGATCAGTTACACAGAGTGGATTAACAAGTAAGGGACACGCCCATTATGCTCAAGCGATGGACAAGTAAAGTTACTGGGCAGGTTAGAACGTTTATTTTAGTATATCTTAATTCAGTAAGGCAAAACCTGTACTACGATGTTTGATCAAGAACGTATCGTTATTGTAACGGATGAAGAGGGAAGCCGCATGACACAGATTGACTTTTAATGCTGTTGATAATACACTCTAATTTATAACGTTCTCGATCACGTCAGTTGTTTATGCCAGTGCTTGGAAGGAAAGTGTGTAGAGTGTGGTCGAACCATAGAAGTTACATCAGTGACCATAGTTTGTTCAGCAGTTTTTGCCAGGGACAACATTCTCAGAGCCCTACACTCACTGTAGTCCTTAGATATTGCCTCTTGAGACTTTTTAAACTTCTAAAATTAAATCCAACCTGTAAGGAACAAGATTTGAAAGCGTCGAGGCAATCCAAGAGAATGCGACAAGGCAGCTATTCGCTATGCTCAAAAAAGAGTTCCCGGAATGTTTCTAATGATGAAAACGACGCTGCGCAAAGTGTGTGGCTCAAGAGACAGGACTACTTCGAAGGAGATTAAATGCCGAATTGATATGTGTTGTAGTTTTCTACTTATAGCAACAGTCCGGATACCTTTTGTTCAAACCTCGTATTATTATTAATAGAAATTATTTATTTGTCGATAATTTCAAGCAGTTAAATATAAAAAATTATTGAATAGAAAAATGCAGCAGTGTCGACACCCATCGATGAATCTAACCAACCAATTCCGCTCAGCGATACCGAGTAGATTAACCAGTAAGGGACACGCCCATTAAGCTCAGGTGACGGACGAGTAAAAAAAAATTCCTTTACTTTGTGATTCCTGTAGCTTCGCTCTTTTTTTTTATATTTCCATAACGTCTTTCTTGTTTCTAGGATTAGCGTCCTTTAGGAAATGTAAAACATCTTGAGTCTTTGCAAGTTCGGAATTCGTTCTGCCTAGCACCAAATGTTGCCAAAACACGTTTTGGGCGAGGATTAATTGTTAAATATTCTTTATCGCTTTGTTGTTTTTTATAATTATCTCAATCCGCGATTTATTATGGTTGGAGTCTGTATGCGCGCCAAAACATTTGGATGTTCTGTCTGTTGAATGATAAGTATCCTGAATCAAAGGGGTGAAGGTTAAACTTTTTTTTCTTTGTTTGTTTTTTTGTTCTTTTTTATCTGATTGAGTTAACTATGAAAACCTTATTTAGCAAATGAGCGATGTTAACCTTTCAACTGCTGCAAAAAGAGTGTCAATTGTTTCTTTAATACAAGTTATTTGCGTGTCCCCAAACAGATGCTAATCTGAAGGGATCAAATCAGTACCATACGGATTATATGTTAAACATAACAGCCAGATTGCTAGATCCATGGTTATCGATTTGACAGTGTGTGGGAGAACAAATTAAACTATAGGAGAATGAAGCTGTAACCGAAAGTTATGCTTTCTTTCAACGTCCGGCTTCCATCGATATCTTCAAATATCCGATAGTTTTCACCTCTACAAAACGCTATGGAAGCTGCGAAAAGTGCATCTTTTGCATCCCAGAACTCCATCAATTGTATTGCTGACTGATTTTGCAATTTTTGTCGTCTAGGATGGAAGCTTCCAGATGATAGAATGGCGGCTATTCTACATCACAGAAAAAAACATCAAGTTTATTGTTAATTAAACAGCCGCACTGTACACAAACTCAACTTAGTTTCTGTCCATCTATACATAATAGATTCCTCTCTGATTTGGTGTCAAATAAGAAGAGATTTGTTCAATTGATTCTCGAGATATTTTAAGTTTATCAGATTCGGAAAACTTAGCAAATGGACAGGGTGCACATAATATTTTAAAATAATAAATTGTATTTCGAATTGAAGTTTAAATTTATTTAATGAAAGATACATGTAAATGTTTTTAATATACATTTGGAATTTTTATTTTAAATATATTCTGAATGGTTTTTAGGATAAATTTTGAATGATTTTTTTTTCTGAAGATGCATTTTGATTTTTGGGGATTCATTTTAAATGAATGGTTCTGAAGATAAATTTTGAATATTTGTTTGAAGATACATTCTTATTTTTTTTAATATATATTTTGAATATTTTTAAGATACACTATGAATGTTTAATTTATGAAAGTATCGAGTAAATAAAGGAATTTGTTTCATATATTATCGTACTTTAAACATACGTTTTAAATATTTTTTTCTCAATAGTCATTATGAATTTTTTTAAGATACATTTTGAATGTTTAGCATTGAATGTTTTTTGACGATATGTTTGGAATGTTTTTTTTAAAGATTTCTTTTGAATATTTTATTTGTGAAGATATCGAGAAAAATAAAGGACCTTGAAAATACTTTTCAAACAAATCGCTTCATACATTATCGTATTTGATAGCGTAGCAGACGTGCTTTATAAACAATTGAATCAGTAAACTGCATCGCAACTTATATTGATGA